AGGAGGGAATGAAATACTGAGAAGAATCTTCCATCTTGAAACACAAATCTAAATTGATAAGTATGTTCTCAATCACGTCTCTGTCCACACCTTTCTGTCCATGCGGTTGCTTTCGGAGAAACTTCTTTATTAATAGCAAAGACACTCTCACTCACAAATCCGTCCTTGCTTGAGTATGAGTCACGCAACTTTCTTTTGTGCTCTTTAGCTTAAATATTTGACCCTGACTTACCAACTCACCTAATAATGCATTAGTGAGCCAATTGGGATCCACAATGATGTAACTAACGTTTGGAATATAAACTATGGATCCAACGTCATTCAAATAAGATACTATCGAATTAAGTATACTTGAATGATCAATGACAAAAGCTAAAGAGGATGAAATGAATTCTATCAAGATGGGGTAACAGAAGTCATGAAACTTTTGAGATGACCAAACAGGGCAACTTCTGTTCTCCTTGCTGTTTGTAACCAAGAGGGAGGAGAGTTGGGAACACAGTTGGGGAACAAGTGGGGATTTTTCACTCAGCAACTTATCAAAGATCTCAGAAATATATTCTTTAAGAGGAATAACTTGCTTCTTCTTCTTGGCATCCACATGAAAACACTCTTGAATTGGATGAAGATCCACAAATTTTGCAAATATTTTTTTGACATTGTTCACTATTGAGTGAACCCAAGTAAAAAACCTGGATTCGGTTTTGTCCTGGTGAGAAATCACAACAATAACTTGTGGACGATTATGTCATGTGACCCTAAAGTTGGATGTGATAAAACTCATCCATTCCTCCAACTCTGTCTGAAAACAAAAGTATTCTTTCTCTTTTTTAGATTTCTCACAAAAAGAACTATACACAAATAAAAAAACACAAAAATTGCTCGTTTGAGGAAAGAGCACACTTTGAAGGGTACAAAAAATTTCTTGTCCCGCAAGATCCCAAATTTGAATTTGCCTTTTGTCATAGTTTTGCAAGAACTCCACTTAGATACCTTTAGTTCTCAACATCTCGTCACATTCCTTTCTTTTTGCCTTGAACTATCCTCATCAAGGTTTGGCGCAATTTAGTCTTGCTGACGAAGTTTGAACGAGCTGACTTGGTGCTAAGAAAACAAACGGCTTGTCCTTCCAACCTTGGGATATCCAGCGTTAGCAAGTCATACTTTTCACTCCACATGTCCTACCTAAATTTTGAATATTGTTCACTACATTTTACTCCGTAGTGCCATCATTATCCAAAGGTACAGAGGTCAAATATTGGTGGTGTTTATGGCAATCACAAGCTCGCATTTGCACAAATACATGTCTTCATAATTCACAGGTGACGATAAGAATATGGTCAGCGAGCAAGTTAAGTGCGTTTTAGTCTGCTCTGAAGGAACTTTTGCATCAAAGCAGTTAACATGATGCAAACTTAAATGAGAAATATTCGACGAATAGAGAAAATTAAGATGAAAGAGTGTACTATGCATTACTAACTTGTCTCCTGCGGCGTCTTGTTGAAATTTCGAGTGCAAGTGCGCAGCAGTAAATATGCAAGTAGAACGACCAAGTGTTTTCACTTGATTCGTGTCACGACAGGATAACGTTAACAATGCTGCAAGAGTACAGTATACAGTACAACGGTACACGTATGGTGGTCAAAAGTTAGTTGCCAGATAACTGACACAAGGGGAAACTTTAGTCGCAACAAATCCGTGGGCCCCCTGCGAGAATGATTACAAAGACGATTGTCTTTGACCGAAGAGATAAATATAGGTTTAGACATAAATCTCAACCTTTTAGATTCGAGCATGAAGCATCCCATAACAAATGGACTGGAATATTTATCTTTACTCAATTCAGCTATCACATTCACACCTATGTAGAGGTTGGTTATAGATGCCATATAAACATGTCCAAAGTTGATGTCAATTAAGTGGTCAATTTATTTTATTGCAAACATTTTTCATAAAGTTGCTTCGGTTATTAGATTATGTCATTGGATATTTGTTGCTTTCTTGTGATGTAAAAGTACATTGGATAGTTTGAATCTATTGGTATCATGGAGAATTGGTGGTTTTCCGACGTTTTTACAACATTGTTCACAATTCTAACGACATTAAATATTTCTTAATTCAGAATCGTCACCTTAGTAGATTTTGAGATGGTCTTGTATGACATTAGAGTATACTTACATATCATTATGTATAATATGATCTTGATATTTTCTGATAACAGTTCCTTTTGAAATATTCTGTAATGTATCAATTTCCTCTCTCTTCTATCAACAAATTTTTATATATGAAGAACATATTGCTCTACAATCCACTACCCCTAGTAGTGAACAAGGAAATACTTTCTCATATCACTTGTTATTTATCATGATTTATTTGTCTGATACGTGAGATTGAGTTTTCAGATTCTTAGCAAATGATAGATATATTTTCTTACATATGTCTCATATTAGTCTCATAAATACTTCGGTTCATCTTGCTAAAAATATGTGTCAAAATTTAGTAGAAATTTACTTGATGGTACCCATCAGAACGTTAAATGCTTGATGGTACCCAATAAGTTCCATTTTACCCTATGGTATCCCTCCTACGGGTCACCTGAGGTCTCAGAGACTCACTAAGAGGTGACTCATTTCTCTGCCATGTTCTTGTAACTGATTTGTCTCCATTTCCATGAAAAAAAATATTTCTTCCTTAATTCCCATGGGTCCCAATCTTCATCATGCAAGAGCCCATTTTCTCACGTCCAGGAATGATTTTTCAGTTATTATAGTACCTTATTTAAAAAAAAAAAAACTCTAGGCCAAAGTCACGTAAGTTGCATATTACTCCTTACTTTTTTATTAAAACTCTTGGTCGAAGTCATGTAAGTTGCATATTTTGGTCCGTGAAGTGCATGCGGGGAGAAGTCACTTTTCAACAAAGATCTGCAGTGCTTTTCCCAAACCGGACTCAAAGCAATTACAAGAACTCGTAGTAGAACATCCTTGACAGTGGACTGAATTATTGTCGGAAGGGTCCCATAGGGTAAAATGGAAAGCATTGGGTCTATCATTCTTATGTGTCCCATCAAGTAAAATTCTCCAAAATTTAGTTAATACTTTGTACAATATATCTTCAATTTCAGATTTTTAAGTGCTCTATCATATAGATATACGATTAAAATACGTATGAGTGACAATGGTATTCAAGGAGTTTTCTGACCCCCTTCTCCTCTCCATACAATGCACTTGAATAAGATATGATTTTTCTTTATTTGCATAATTGAAAACCTTTGATCAGATAGTTACGAGCCTCTCTGTATACATAGGGGATCAAGAATCTAAAATATATGACATGCTATCTGGATTTTAGTTTGTTTTCTGTGCTGTAAAAAATTAAGTCTACTAAGTGTTTTCTTAGCTAAAAGGTTTCAACATCCTTGTTATCTTCTCAACATGTGATTGCTAGTTGGTTAATGTCACGTGCAACAAATTTTATTGCACCTACTAATTATGTGCATGTGTAATTTCATCTTTTTCAGAATAGTATGATGGACAATTGATAGTTAGCTCATAGTATCTTGGTGTTTGCTAAGTAAAGTTAGTATAATTACTTCACATGGAGGGATTGTAGTTGGTCTTGACTAAAGTTACGCTAGACTTAGGGTTGCTATAGAAATTCAATGATTTTCAAAACAAATTTTCTTATGTATGATGATATGTAAAGGATTTAAGATTACAATAATCTAAAATCTTGTTATGTACAATGAGTACATTGTAAAAGAGTGTTGGTATAGTGAAAGATGTATCCATTAGGCTATTGAATAGCCTATTGTACTCATGATGTAAATGTATATAAACTTACTTAATTATTGTAGAGACTTTTAAATCAATGGACTTTTCATTACATGATAAAGCACTATGCAAGGAAATCTATGATATTGCAATCAAATTATAACTGTGTCTTTTCATATTTCTCTAGAGGTTCAAAAAATGTTACTTAGATATATTAACGATACTTATGACAAACATACTATCCAGATCTAGTCCCGTGTTATCTTATGGCTTAATCCAAGAAAAGATTACGGGAACTTCCTATCCTTCTGAGACTTTTTGTCTGGTAATCCTTTCGAGTTGAGCTACTCTGCTGCACACTTTGAATTCCAGAGGACAGAGTGAGTTACTTAGTTCCAGATCTCGGGGATTCGCTCTCACCTGCAGCATTAGGTGAGAACAGAAGGCTTGCTATCTACGTGGCCCCTTTCAGACTCTGGTGAGAAGGAGCACACAGATTTCTGCTGCCGTGGGAGTCTGCTTGTTCCACTTTGTAGCCAGTGGAGTCGAGGCCGACGTCGGCGGAACCGCTCCATCTCAGAGCTTCGAGGGTTGGCTCAAGAATTTCGGGGCCGGACCATTCCATGGCAAGCCTCGGAATCCCGACAGCCCGGTCATGGTTTAGGGATGTTTTATCAGATTGAAGTCAATTTGATGGGGCCGATGGTCTATTCTCCGAGTCTTCTACGACTGTGAAGTGGAGGTTTGAGGTCATGTACAGAGCGTCTAGGTGGAGGCAGCGTTCAGAAATTTGGGGTACATGGAGGGATTAAATTTGAGTACGTACAGAGAGTAAATCCTTCTTGTTCGATTCTTCTTCTTCTTCTTGAGTTCTTGCGATCGAAGATCGAGGTATTACCTTGATCTCGAGCTTAGGATAAACTGGCATGGCTCGAAGGGCACAATGGGCGACCAGCTGCCTGGCCTGGTGCTTGTACTGCCAGCTCTGTCGCTGTAGGGCGAGAGCTCTAATTCGACCGACAACCTTAGGTGGCTAGGAGCGAATTTAGGCTGAGGGTAGGAGCGAATTCTAGCCTCTTGGTCTGCCGTGGCAGTCCTTCTCTTCATCAATTTACGTATGCACAACTTCGCCCTCGTCGGCAATCAGCTCATCATTTCTAGTTCACGCCTTCATGAAAGAGAGAATCACAATTTTATGTACCCGTGTAACGGGTTTGGTATATTCCACTAAACAAACACATCATCCGGAATTGCTGAACAGCAGCAAAGCTTCAAAAGCATCAGAACCTAGTTGTTAGGCATCGATCGGGCCCGGAAAACAAGTCCAAACACCAATGAAGGATCACACACATCCTTTATACAGATATTCACAATCACAGGACTTACAGTCTTGTGCCCTCAACAGCTGAAGTCGTCTATTTTCAGGCATGATCACACTCGTCTGTCGCAGGTTGCAGAAGGACAAACTGAGCTCGATGAAGAAACTCATATACAGGCCACAAGGAATGTACCTTCTTATCAGCATTCCATAAATAGATGGCAATTCGTCTGTCGTGGGTTGCTGCAGAAGGACAAACTTTGCTTGATGGACGAACCCATATACTGACTACAAGGAATGTACCTTCCTTTCAGCATGCCGTTTCCAGATGGTCATTCGCCTGTCGGAGGTTGCTGCAGAAGGACAAACTAAACCTAATGAACGAACTCATATACAGACTGCAAATAATGTACCTTCTTATCAATATACCGTAACCAGAAGTCCAAGGGTGGACAGGTCTATAAGCAAGCTCGCTTCAAAGATGCCTACTGGTTTGCATCTGAATGAATGATTACAGCGTCTGCAAGACTGGAGCAGGAGACAGAGCATTCTGTGTCCGAATGCAGCGCACCTGTGGAGCGTAGTACTAGTGCTGCTTCGTTAATGGACTAGAAGCAATTACTCGACTAGATCTGACGCCTGTAGACTGAGGCGAACTGCCGAGAAGCAGTTTTTCTGTACAAAGATTACGGTTTGAAATATTTGAGTTTGCTTGGTCGTGAGGTAAGGTCTCGTGCTTAACGGCGTGTGGCAATGACTTTCACGCCTTCAGCCATTGCCAGGACGAACATTACGCGTGGCCTCACGTCCTGGTTAGGAACAAGTTCGAACTTGAAGAATCGGACCAGAAGAGCTGCTGTTATCTTCATCTGAAGGTACGCTGATTCCTTACCCAAGCATTGCCTGAGCCCACCCTGTAAGAAAACAAGAACTTAGTGCCAGTCGAGTACTCGTAAGTAAGTGCTGAAAGCGGAACTACAACTTTCGAGTCCAGTCCAACCTATATGGAAATCAAGCCTGACCAAATGTTAGCGGAATGTGGGCGAGACAATCTACTGATGTTCTCATGTGATATCTCTGGCTTTTTGGGACAGCTGTACCCCACTAAGTACCCATTTTGCATCTCAACATATATGAAGATAAGAAGAACGCTACTCCACGGACTATGAGCGACCTCCTTTCTCTGTGATAACGTGTTACGTGTATCCCGGAGATGCAGACCTCGAGGAGCCAATCACATGCTTCTACTGATGAAGGAAACACTTACATGAAATGAAACGAACTTGAAAGGAGATTCTGGGTGAAATGACCCATCCTTAAGCCAACGCTCTGGCTTGAACATTCTCGCATCTGGTCCCCATACTTTTTCTAGACGGCCCATTGAATATGAGGCGTAGGTGACAAGAGTGCCCTTTTTGACCTTAGCTCCATTTGGAAGCACGTCATCAGCCTCAGCAATCTTTCCATCCTGTTGCCAAGCCAAGCAAATCACTTTATCTTTTCTTTGATCCAAATTGGCAATTTTGGGCAGAGACAAAGCACAATCTACAGTGTCTTTTTCGGCTCTTCTGCTCGAAGTTACTTCTCGACGAGCTATTATGCATGTGCCAGCACTTGGAGAGTTTGAAGTTTTCATCTCATTTGCAATGTTTAAGGCCCTTGGAGAGCATGCCATTCCAATTGAGGCTGCGCAGGATATCTTACCAGAGGAACAGCTGGATACAGTCGCAGAGTCTCAGTAAGAGCACAGTGCAGATATTTCAACTTAGCCACATTGTAGAACGAAAGAACTCGAGCAAACCTCTCGATTGGATCATCCGATTGCTCTTCATCCCCGTCGAGAGCATTCTCATCCTCCTCGAGAGCTGTAACCTCTTGGAAAATCTTCTCGGCCACTTGTGGATGAAGACAAATTCTGTAGATGAACCAGCTGAGAGTGATGGCAGTCGTGTCTCTTCCCGCAATGATGAAATTAACCACGTGATCCCTAATAGCCTTGTCGGACAGGGCCTCGTCGGCCTTATCGGTCATGGTCATGAATCTTGTCAGCAGATCCGGCCTCTGCAGGGGAGCATGAAATGTCAACATAAAAGGTAGGCAGAAACCAGCCTATCCAAGAATATCCGCGTGAAAAATTGACACAGTGATATCGTTTTTCTCACTATCACGACGTACAGAAACTCCTGACTTGCCTGCGGTCCATCATTCTGGGCGGCTTGCAGCTCCGCTCTACGTCGATTGATGACATCGTAAACAAACTCGTCCATGGCATCCACGCACTTTTTGAGCACTTTCTCGTCCCCTTTGTTGAAGAACTTCTTGACTTTCCAGAAGGGGTCGATGTAACGATGAAAGGAGAGCTCGTTGGCCAGATCGAAATTACTGTGGAAAGGCACTTCCGGCAGTGATGGCGAGAGGCATCCGAGTTCTACTCCGAATCCCACCTTGCAAGTCCCGTCCAGAGTCATTCGCATGAATAGGTCCTGAAGGAGCCCGAAACAAGGTCCCAACACAAGAACAAAAACAATCGTCTCTCAGTACCAGGAACGGAAAATGTAACAAGTGTCTGGGAGCTTCCACAATCTGCTGCGGATGAAAGCCGCAAGGTTTTGAGTCTTATTAAAGCATGACGTTGTCCGAGCGCAAACTAATGAACAAACCCGAAGATGTTCACGACAATATCGAAAGCTTCGCGAGAGTCGATGAAACGGTGCTGAAAAGATATCGATGTGTTGGGGGTTGTGGCCAGCGACACCCAAGGTGGACGCAGCAAATGGCTGGTTCACACTCAGGGGCTGTGTAGATTGATAGATTTGAAGACTAGCCAAACGATTCTTGGATGTGAGGCGATTTGGCATCCGCCTATTTGCCATCATGAAGAGCGGGTTGTGTGATTCCGATGTAGTTTTGAAGTTTGATACCTCTCTCTCTCAAAAGAAACTGCGTCATCGAATTTTGCTAGATTTTCAATCCATTGATCAAATCGAGATTCGAAAGATGTTTGTGGGAACGAAGTGCGGAGGCAAAATAATCTCTACCTGCATGTTTATAGGAGTCTTGGAATCTGTGTACTGGGAGACGATTCGAGTTAGCGTCAGCGAGAGCTCCTTGAAGACATCTGCACTATGGTCGCGCAAAATAGAGGACGAAAATTCCAGACTCGCCACCTTCCGCGTATTCTTCCATTGCAGCCCATCCGCGGCAAAAATTCCGTGACCCAAAAGCTCTCTCATGCGCTCTTGAACGCCCACCCCCTTCACACAACGGAAGATCAAGTCAGTGATTTCTCTTCGAACTCGCCCCGGCAGATGATCATCTCCGCATAATCCAGGATCCGGGGAACATAAAAACCTCACGAATGGAAAAGAGACTTCATAAACATCAGCAGGCCCATGACAATGATGTTAAGATAAAATCTGCTCTTCGTGGGCAGATAGGTTGTCGTCCTCGTGCATCGGCGGCACAATCATGAGGCCATGTAAGAGCTCCATTCTTCTGCAGCAATCAGGATCGCGTCCACTGTGCTTCTACGAAGCCGATCATTTCTTAAACTACATCCTAAAACCTTCACTCGTTCTGATCAACTCTTATGTCAAGAATGTGTGGTAAAGTCAAAGATCTCATCTGCCACTGAGAAGCAGAAAGAGGCCGTGAGAAGCAGGAAAATGATGCTTTCATAGTCTGCACAATTCGTGCTTCTGTGAGCAAAAAAGAAAACGAGGACGAATTGAAGTGTCTTTCGCTTCCATAGAAAGAGAGAGGATCGATAATGATCACGGACGATCAGGAACCGCATATTCCCAACGCTTTGAATTGTTTCTGAAGTACAGTCAAGCTGACGAACCATACAGATGACGAAATTCGAATACAGTTGCGGGTATATTGATATAAGACAGATATGGTGAGAGACTTATGTCCACGTGCAAAGATAATCTGACTCGTAGAAACCGGATTTGATGTCGCGAATTTTCTTACTGCAACCGACCACTTCGAGTGCTATGGCACGTAATGCACGTGGACAGTTTGGACCCAGGATGAGTGACATCACAGAATCTTTCGAAAGCTGCAGCTAAACTCCCAGCGTTAGTGACGCAGCATTTGTCCAGCTGCAGCAACAATTGGCTCGGACTGGTCGACTTGTGCTCAGGAATCAGGCCAAGCTTATCTGAGCCTACGTCTAGTGTTCCAATGAGAATCAATGCGGGCAGAAATTGTGTGGACCTCTGTTTCGATCTAAAACTTAGCATGATAAAACAGAGGTTATGAAACTCTCGCAGCAGAAATGTGCCTTCATACCTTGGGAAAGTTCGGGAAATTTGTCTTCAGAATGTACTCCACGGAAGGCGGATCGGCAATGTAAACACCTTCGAAACCGAAAGCGAAACCGGCCCAGAGGACGTCATTCTTCTCGAGTTGTTCTGTGATAAATTCATAAAGCCGCGGCCACTGAGGAGTCAGAGTGGGCAAGCTTCCAATAAGAGGCCACGTTGTCAGCTGACCCGGGCGTCGATTCTTGAGCCAGAAAGCAACGAGCGTGTACAGCCCAACGAGAAGAGTCGCAGTGAGCGCAATTCCCACTTCCTTCTGCAAGAAGGCGGATGCCCAATCCAAGCTGCGGATTGCAAACCCGCCCCCGCCAGAAGAAGCTGTTTCATTCAGCATCGTCTCCCCCATGCCTCGAGGCCCGCCGAATTGCCGAACCCCACCACCGCCCACCACAATCCCGAAATCGGAAGGAATTTTCGGATCGAATCGACCGAAGGTCGTGACACTCGAGCGCCGCAGCGAGAGGATGTGGAATGAACCTCGTCCTGCACGCTTCACTCCCGGCTGACACGAATTCCCGCAGTCTTCTCCACCTTCGCCTTCGCCTTCTTCGTCGTCCTCGTCTTCTTCCTCGGCGTCTACTTATTGCTCTGGGCCTCGTCGGCCTCGTCCCTTTATTCCTCCTCCTTCCGTCGTACGAATTCCGGCCCCGCTCAACTGTCGCAGCGAGTGTCAGAGCGTCGACAAACTGTCGTCGTCCGGGCGAGCGAGAGAGCGATCTTGATGTCTAGCCCCAGGCCCAGGCCCAGGCGCCCAGAGGTCGGCCTGACGGCCAGAACGTCGATCATTCCCGTTGCCCACCGGAAGGAAATGATGCGACAGCGGCAGCGCCTTCCTCGCCGGAGACTGTGGCAGGTTTGCCCGGAATCCCACTCTGCTCGCACACCTCGCTTTCCGGAAATTACTGCGGCCGTAGCTTTTCGGCCCCGGTCCCGCACACGGAACACCGAGCTGGCACCGGACCCGCGCCCGCGCCAGCGCGACTCGAATCGGGCCTCCGGTTGGTCGGCGGCCGCGTCCGGACTCGTTCGAATTTCTAATTCGAGCCGCCTCGCTGACCGGCCAGTGGATATATATGTTAGGCCTTCTCCCGGTCGTTCGGCCCTGGTCGACCGATGATCACCCGCGCCAACGTTCTCGTATTGAAAAGGTTCCGCTCCGCCTTCGGTAATTCTAAATCTTCTCGGAATATTCCCAACAAAATCGAATAGAATATCACCCACGTCTGCAAAATGTTCATTTATTATATTAGGTATATAAGATATATAAAATGATTAGGTATATAAATAAATTGTATACGTTGGAATCATGAGAGGATGTATTGCTTATCGAGCACTCGTGCAGTGCACAAGGTCTTTCGAGGAGCTGAGCAAACGCTGAAATTTCGACCTTCTTCTTCGTAGCTCATCGAACTCAAACAGCGTAATACATCTTCGTGAGTGCGATTTTGTGAAATTTTGCAGTGCATAGAACAGATTTCTGTGTGGATGAAGAGATCTTTGTCCGAGCAGATGAGGAGGGAGATCTGCGGAGAATCAGCTATTTATACTCACCATAGGGTCGATTTAACGTATACCGTCCAGAAACGAAGCCCGGCTGCTGCCGAGTAAATCCCTAGTGAGGCAGAGACGCGTCGGGACAGCATGGCATGAAGATTTGTTCGGATTTTCTTTTTGCTCGTACCGAAAAGCGCGAGTCTTCTTTTCGTCGCTCGTAATTGGCAGATGACGACGTTCGCGCACTTTCTGAATCCTGAATGGGATGAAGCACGGTAAAACTGTCAGCATGTTGAATACTGCCGTTCGACTGTGCTGTACAATAAATAGACCGAGAGGGAGAGGTGTGGATCGAATTTTCTTCAATTTTCTTGGAATAAGCGGGGCATGTGCAATCGACTCGTGTCTCTGCTGAGGTTGATTAAATAATATACCTCCGGTGACGACTGATCTGACCCGGTTTCCATGTTAGGCGACTGCATCGCCAGGTAAAGTTTGTCAAGTCAACAGGTTACTATAATTGCACCGGAATGATGGAAAGGTGATGGGGTCGATCAAAGTGTCACTTGCTACGAAGAATCATGAAACTTCAGTTTTACTGGTCACGTAGAGTATTGAAGAGAGGAAGATAAGATTCGACTTCCTGCTTTTTCTCACCCCAATCAAACATTCATTCATGAATTACTCCTGTTCAGCGAGTCGCTTCAGTCACAACTCGTCTGGTAGTTCTTTCCCACAAGCAAGTCACTCTTCGGATTTACGACGCACATTTCCGTTAATTCTGTTTTGGTAAAGTCGAGCTGCAGTGGAGTTCCTCAACCCGAGAACCTCGTGACTCTCTACATAGGGCACTTTTGACTGCTGCAGTTTCTGGTTATTTTATATATATATATATATATATATATATATATTTTGGGTCTGCTCTGAAAGCTTGGACTTGAACAGTGTTTGGATATCTGTGAAATGTAAAAAAGAATGCTATTTCAATTTTATATTTGACCAAAATTACTCGAATTGTATGAGTGTGGTATTGAGATCCTCATCATAGTATTGAATGTGAAAAACTACCTCTTGGTGGATACAGTTCTGAAAACTCCGATAATTTGTTTGCATCATGAATTAAAAAGAGTGACAATCACCAAGCAAGTCAGGTTTCACTTCTCCAGGAAATTTAATGAATCAAGTCATGTCACACTTAGCAAAACACTCAATAGTAGTGTCCATACACCACACTCTCAATTCATTGGAATTCCAAATGTACACGTTATCTTCAAAATGTTATCATAGATACTTTGCTTCAATAAGCCTTTCCACCCCCAACAAAACGATACTTTCACAATTCTTTTAGTGCATTTGGAGATCGTAAGTACAATATTCAACAACTGAGTTTATCTAGCCTTACGACTTCCCCACCTTGAACACTTTATGTTTCTTTCTTTTTGCATAACTGCTAAATCTTCTCTTTCAATGGGATCTGGACATGCCAGTGTTGGCTCCTACTCTGAGTTAATCAGCCTTACTGAGTTTCCCATGTGCATAACATATGAGCCATTGTAAGAAACTGATATGATATCATATTTAAGAAAAAGTTTTTACAACCTGCCAACAGTAGCTACAGAAATGGCGATGCTTTATCCACAATATCAATCAATTCCTTATTTATCTTCGCATAAACCCTAAGGACATTCATTAATCATTCCACTTTAACTCACCCTTCTTCCTGGCTTTCTGGCAGTGCGCATTAAGCAATACTACAGCATTAATTAATGAATTTAATAAAAATTAAGCATTTCACTACAGATGACATTCTCTATCCCTATCTTCCGCTAAGTTCGCACTCTTCCCCCAATCCAATTATTCCAGTGTCTTTTAAAGGTTGTGGAGTCTTACCCTTCGGTCTGCATCGCCATCTTAAACACGTATACCCCATTAGAGACATATCTAGAGACAAAATTTGCTGCTAACCAGAGGAGAAATTGCAAATCAAGTTCATATTCGACAGCGAGAGTTCACTTGATGACTCTGAGCCGCAGATTTTCTTCATAGCTCCATACATCGGCTGTCACGTTGAGATCTGCAGATGTGCTATGAAATCTAGCATTTTGAGCATCCAAGAGCAATGAGCAGAAGAGAGGCCAGGCCTCTTGGACCTCCATGATTCAGTATTCATGCCCATGCAGTGTGACATATGTACCCGTCGCTGGAAGGCCAATAGAGCAGTGATAGATGCCCTTGACTAAGTGTTTGTATACTCAAAAGCATTAAAAAAAGTATTTTAAAACTTCAAAGAGTGGTTACTCATCAGGTGTGCACCTTTTCCTGCCCAATGGTACTGATTCGAGAATGTTGACAGATGTTGAAATCATGTGATTTTTTGGACGTCAAAGTTGGAGAAGCTTTTGCTAAAAGGTCATACAGTGGAGTCGGATAATGAACTTCAAGGAATTCATGTTGCCACAAACGGTACAGCAAAGAAGATCTGACGTTCTCCAGATTTGTGACCAAAGCATGAATAGATTACGGGTATGTGTGATGAGATTAATCCAACAAAGAAGTTTCAAGATTGAAAAAAAACCGGAACATGCCAAATCAATCAAGTGGCAAAAAAACACGTCTAGCTTTGACATGAAATGAATAAGTTATTAAAAGTATAAACATGTACGTAGTTGTCGAAAGAATCTGTAAAATAAAATCATCACCCGATGGAACATGTTTTAATTTTTTGTTCGTAATGTGTTGAATAAAAAGAGGTGGGAGCAAGATTTTGAGAATTGTCCAAAAATTGGAAAAATTGGAAATTGGAAAATTCATTGAAAAGCTTTGTACGAATCTCACAAATTACTACTTATTTTCAACCACATACTACTTCTATTTCAGGCATGTTGAAGTTTGTAACAAGCTTTCACGTTCGTAACTTGTCCATGACTAGTCTATTGGAAAACTTTTTTTTCCATCAAGTCTTTTATTTATATAAGGTCTTATCGGAAGGCATGTAGGATCAATTAAAAGATTCCTTGTAAGTTGTTGAGTTATAATTGGAAAATCCACAAGCAGACATCTATGGGAATAGAATGATTGCAAGTGAAGATATTTTATTGAATCTAGTTACTTTTAACGATACTACAAAACCAGTCACACTTTCATTAACAGGTTTTCCTTCATCAAGAGATAATAAAACGGTATTGCTTATAGGAGCACTCTTAATTATCAATCTAAATGACTTTGTTTTGCGAATGAATGTTGAAGCAGTTGTTGGTAGTATCTTAAGTCAATCTTACTCTTGTTTACTCATCAACATGAGATTTTTTTAGTAGAAAGTCACCGTTTTATTATCCATCAACCATAGCTGATGACATGGAGCTAGTTGAAAAATATCCTATTGCCATGTTTTATCATAAAAAAATTCGGTCTATTGCTTTGGACTGTAATGCTTTGTGCTTCGATTTTAAGCGTATGAAACACATCATGAGCCTTGAGACCAGACAAGCCATGACTTTAATAGCAGGGTCTTCAAAGTCAAGTGGAGAGAGAAATCCACTTAACTCAGGTCATGCTTGCATGTTGAGGATGTTGGAAATTTATCGAAGGCTTACGCATTCTATGGACACAATGCATATATATATTATGTTAACTCTATGAATTGATTATCAACACATTTCAATACCAGTCATAATTAAATTTATATCATTATGATTGGTAGATTATATTTCTAAATTTACAATAAATAATCGAGCAAATTATACTTCTATGAGAGCACATATTTGTATTGGATGCAGGTGTTATTTCGTATACTCCAAATTCATCCTTGAATGCGAATCTCATCTACCCAACTGGATCCCTTACCTTTGTAGATTGAAATGGACTCGAAAGGGACGCAGCTGGCCACACATTCAGACTTCACTTAACAACAGAAGATGAATTTCAGCTGAACACGTGATGGCATACCGTTTTGTGGGAAATTTGACAAAGAGGTGGTCACTCCTAACCTTGGCAAAATGTGCTTCCTGGCTGCAAACTTTGTCTGGTGGAGGTTTATTTGTTGGAGAGCAACAGGTAGAACCTGACATCTGTTTTACGAAGGAAACCAGATGACTGACACGACTTGGTGCTCTGGTTATTGGAGCAGCAGCAGCTGCTGGGGAAGTCCACCTTCCAGCCCCAATCGAAGCATCCGAGGTCTGAGTTCAGCACGTTATCTCCAGACTGATCGGCATGCACTGGTTCGT